GAGGGGCCACTCCCCTGTGTGTGTGTGTGTGGGGGGAGCTCCCCCCCACCCTGACACCCAGGTCCAAGTGGCCTCCCCCGGGAGGGGGGAATGTCCTCTCCCCTGGGTTGGGGGGGGAGAGTTCCCTCACCCATCCCAACACCCAGGTATGAGGGCGCTGCAGAGGAGTTAAGGCCTGGATGGCAGTCAACCAAGATGGGCCGTCCTCTCAGGTATTGTGCTGGCCCTGGGCCCGAGGATAGCTGGCTGGGCATGGCAGCAACAAGTGTCTGGGGAGGAGTAGTAGCTGTGGCCCACAAGGGGCTTTAGTAAAAGCAAGATAAAAGGTAAGTGATTCTAAGACATACTTATAATGGTAGAATCTCTTAAAAAACACTTAGAATTCTATGAACTTGAATATTTTGGATCATTTGTCTTATCTCTAGCTTCACTAAAGATACTCATTGCATTGAAGTAAGATTTCTACACATTATGTCTTTCATTTAGGATGAATTAAATGAAATTACCTGGCACATCTGACACTGTGGTTTGAATGTGTTCTCTCCACAGGTAAGGAGTTAGTAGCATGATGGTCTTAGAAAAGGCTGCATAGGCTGTGGATGTAGCTCAGTGGCAGAGCTCTTGCTCTGTCTCTGTGCAGCCTATCTTCAATTATCAGCCCAGGTTGGGCAAGCTGCACACTGTGTGAGAATGTAGCATCATGACCAACCCTCCTCCAGGGAAGAAGTTCTCTTTTTCCAGGTTACCCAACCTGCCATCACCTGGATCTTAGACTTCCCAACCTCCAGAACTAGGAGATAATACATTTCTGTTGCTTATAAGTTAAACATTTGTGGTATTCTATTCGAGTAGCACAAGTGGAATAAGTCAGAGTTAGTTAATGAAGTGTTATACACTTTATATTGAATTAATACACCCGGTGTATGGTATAATTTTTCAAAAGTCCTTGAGCTAATCTAGTTCTTCTCTAAAGTGATTTCTTGCCCATCTTTCTCTTTTTGTATGTGTGACTTTATATTGAATGTGGTTTATACACAGCAGTCTCCCCTGCCCCTATCTGAGGTTTCACTTCCCATGGTTCCCTTTACCCCCACCATGGTCAAGCTGTGGTTGAAATACCAGTATGTTTTCACTCTTTCCAGAGAGATTAGAACATATGAGAAAATCCTTTATTACAGCTTATTGTTGTGTTTCTTTATTGAGTTGTTATTAATTTCTTTTATTGAGTTATTATTGTTAATAAATAACTAATTTATAAGTTAAACTTTATCACAGGTATGCATATACAGAAAAAAACATCACATGTATGGCATATGTGTACACACCATGCTCTGGATAAGTTTGACATAAATTTTAGATCTGCAATTTTGCTTATAAATAATATATATTTATAAATAATATATATATATATACATATTTATAATATATATAAATAATATACATATTTTTATTATGTTTATTATATATATATATATATATATATATATATATATATATATATATACACACTCACATATACATAAAAGGTAAGTTTTTAAAAACCCACCATCATTAGCAGGAGATCCCTGGAGAGCCAGACTTAGCCCAACTGGGCAGCAGAAGCCTTCGGTATCCCCAACTCCCCACACTTCCTGCCTTCCTGTGCCTGCTATTGGTGCCAATCCCCTGATTAGATTTCCAGTGTTCCAGTCAACCTCATGATGAAGGCCTGGGTTTCACTTGTCATTAAACAATTCACCATCCGGTTTCTGATGTGAGCAAATGGGCTGTGGATTCACCTCCCCCAACCCTCACCTGTTAGCCATTCTAGTGCCCCTCATCTTTCTGCCCCAATTCAGTGCTTCTCAACCTGTGCATCACAGACCCCAGAGGCCTCTGGAATTACTGCAGAGGCTCCATCAATCCACACGTTTAAATGGGTATGAGTGTTATGTTCTTTTGTTTGTATTTTATTTTTTTAGAGAGAGAGAGAAAGAGAGTTTTTGAGAGAGAGAGAGAGAGAGAGAGAGAGAGAGAGAGAGAGAATTTTTTAAATATTAATTTCTTTTTCAGTTTTTGGCAGACACAACATCTTTGTTTGTATGTGGTGCTGAGGATATGGTGCTGAGGATCGAACCCCGGCCGCACGCATGCCAGGTGAGCACGCTACCCCTTGAGCCACATCCCCAGCCCCAGAGTGTTATGTACTTTTGAATACTGCCTGGTACTGTGTTTTCAAACACAATGTATTTTGCCGATCAAAGGATTCTAAAATTACGATTACATGGAAGAATTCTTCAAATTTGACCTTTAAAACAGCCCTTCCTACCCCTACAAGATTGGGAAACACTAATCAAAACCTTTCTTTCCCCTAAAGAAGGAACCTGAGGGAGGCAGCTGGGATCCTTTGGGTCTTTGAGTATCCTTCCTTTGCCTCAGAGAAGCCTGCTTCAAACTGTATCATGGCGCGGGGCTGGCCCATTGCCTCCGAAAGAGACACCTCTCATCTCAGGTACCCCATCATGTGTCCCTGGTTCTCCAGATCCCAGAATGGATTAAGACCACACCCTCCTACTCAGAACTTCTGCTCTCTCAAAGTACAGCTTTAAATACTTTTCTCCCGGAACTCCATGGCTTCATCAATCTTCTTTGTGAGGGACAACACAGATGAATTAATCAGGCGAGCCAATGAAGGAGGAAAATAATTTTTATTTTGAGACAAGTGTTGCTAAGTTGCTGAGACAGGCCTAAGTTCTGAGGCAGGCCTTGAACCTGCAATCCTCCTGCCTCAGTCTCCCAAGTCACGGGTATTATAGGCGTGCAATACCATACCCAGCCAGAGAGGATTACAGGCATGCAATACCACACCCAGACAGAGAAGCTTTTTAAACTAGAGGTTTTTCAGACTATGTTGGGGACCCTGCCCCACCAACAAATGCAGGGTCATCCCTGCTGTCCCCTGCCTGGGCATTCCCAGCCTCCTCCTTGGTGGCCCTTCAACCAGCCAGTTTGTAGGGGTAATTTTCTTGCCCTCACTAAAATTTGCCAACATGTTTATATGATATCAATGAGTAGTATTAACAACATTTAATGTTGTTAAAGGTCAATTAAGCAAGAGATCTCCTAAAACAGAGGTCAGCAAACCATGGTCACAGGCCACATGTGGTCTCCCACCTATTTTTTCTATGGCTTCAAATTAAAAATGCTTATTACATTTTTTAATAATTGAAAAAATAAAAATAAAATGATATTTTATGACACATGAAAATTATGAGAAATTAAAATTTCTTTGAATTTCTTATTGAAATTCTTATTGAACCCAGCTACCCCCATTCATTCACTACTGTCTATGACTGTTTTTAAGCTGTGGAGGCAGAGATGAGCAGACTCGACAGAAGCCCCAAAGATTCACTATCTGGTCCTTTACAGAGAAGGTCGTCTGACTTCCTTACTAAAGTATGCCTAATGAAGGGGACCATCCTTGGGAGCACTGATGACATGCATGCCACCAAGCAAACTGGGGACTCCTGGACCTCTGAAATGGACAACACCCTTTACCTGTGACCTTCCAGTACCAGGGGAACAAGTGTCTTGGCACCGAGAAAGATAAGGCCTCAGACTACTAACCCCACTCAGGAGACAGGTGTTTTCCAGCCAAACTCTGCAGACCATAGGTGTCTGGGCCATCTTTTGTTTTTGGTACCAGGGATTGAACCCAAGGGGTGCTTAACCAATGAGCAACATCCCCAGCCCTTTTTATATTTTATTTTGAAATGGAGTCTCACTAAGTTGCTTAGAGCCTTGCTAAATAGCTGAGTCTGGCTTTGAACTTGTATTCCTCCTGCCTCAGTCTCCCAAGCTGCTGGGATACAGATGTGTGCCACCATGTCTGGCTGCACCAGACATTTTTTTATTCCAATAGAGAAAATATCTTCTAGGCACAGCAGGGGCAAGGCACAGGGCTGGGTTGGAGATGCCCTGATGAGCAAGGCCTCCCCCGGCTCACCTTGTCTCTGAACTAGTATCTGACAGTAAACCTGGCCTCAGCCTTTCAGCCCCTGATGGAGCTGCTTCTGTACCAAGTGCCCGATGCTCATCATGCCTCTGCTGGAAGGACCAGCTCATTCCATGTGGTCATGTGGCTCAGAGATGATCAGCAGGGAAGTCTGGGTACATGTCCTGGCCCTCCTGTCACTGCCTTGGGCAAGTCACTGACTTTGAACCTGAACTCTTCCATTCAGCAGATGGGAATGGGGCCACCTGCTGCATAGGCCTGAGGAGCCCCTGAGTGCACTGACTTAGCTGTAAACCTCTCAGTGCCACCGGTAGCAGCTTGCCTCTGGAGTAACCCAGCTAGCGCCCCCCCCCCAGCTCCCCAGCCCGTGCTCACCTGAGGCTGCACACAAGCTCTGTGAAGTGGTGCCGGTCATTGGGGTCATAGTCCCAGCAGCGAGTCATGAGGGTGTAAAGGACAGGTGGACAGAGAACAGGCTTGGGCAGCTGTTCCCCTTTCTCCAGCACCCCGATGGCATCCTTGTTTTCCAGCCATAAGAAAGTCTGCTTCCCAAAGCTCAGGATCTCCCACATGCACACGGCTGAGGGAAGAGGGGAAAGGTCAGGCACCCTGCTGGCAAGTGGGCACCCCAGGGACACTATGGCCATTAGCACTTGGTCCCAGCAGGGAGTGTCTGTGTTATCTTGCAACTCCCTCTATGGCCACTGGGGTCTTACCCACCATGGTGGTCCACTCAAGGGACCAATGACCTACATCTGTGGTACATGAACCAGAGCTTCACCTCCCTGACTCCCTCAACATGGAGCTGGCTGGATTCTGTAGATTCAAGAGGTGGCCCACGTTGGAACCACCAGATCCTTCTTGGGAAGATCAGGATCAACAGTAGTAGGGCAGGCACCACCCTTTGCTGCCTATATGGTCATGGGCAAGCCCCTTACTGGTCTGAGTCTCAGTTTCCTTATTTGAAAATGGGGGTAACAATGATGAGGTTTATAGTCAGCTGTGGGAGAACTGGCAGGTAACCTGAAGTGCTGTGTTTGGTGAGGTTGCCCATTCACACCCAGCTAGGCACTCTCCACTCCCTGCTTCTCCTTACATGAAACACCTGAGTTTTGTGTTTGAAGCTCTCTTACAAGGTGTTCCCACATTTGTCTTTGGAGCTGGTTGGTGGGGTCCATGCTTATCAGAGCCTTTTACAGGAGAATGAACCCAGATTTTCTAGGCCAGTCCTTGGCTCATGTCACCCCTGACTCTACCACCACCTCCCCACCTCTGGGACTTCTCAGTGGCCACAGTGAAATGGGTATTGTGGGTTCAGGGATCATCCTCCTCTTGGTCCACCCACACAGAAAATTTGAGCCCATTTCCACACCCTCCTGAATTGCCTCGTACCAAACATCCAGATGTCACTGGCTGTCGTGAAGCCGTGGAAGCTAATGGATTCGGGGGACATCCATTTGATGGGGAGACGAGTCACAGAGGCTTGGGGTGGGCAAAGAGGTTTACAGGCGTTATTAAGGGAAGAAAGAGCTAGAATTTTCCAGAAAAACAGCCTACTGTTCAGAGGCCTGTGGTCTAGGCTGCCCAGTTGTAGGCTCCTTCTGGGATGTTGGTTTCAGAGACAAAGCAGGATCTGGAAGTTCCCTCACCCTTGTAATACTCGTCATCCTCAATGTATCAAGAAAGTCCAAAGTCCCCCAGCTTCACACACTCTGGGGAGGCCACCAGGATGTTCCTGACGGTGATATCCCTAGAGAAAGATGTGGAGACCAGGGTGAGGCACTGCCTAGGACCCTGGGGCAGGTGGGGGCAGGTGGGAGAGCTGAAGGAAGGTTCCCAGCAGGTGAGTGCAGGAAGAGGTTGCATACAGGTAGCTTCCTGCGAGCTGAGCTCCAGCCTCCATGAGGAGCTACTGGTACTGATGGCCTTGGTCCTGGCATGGCTCCCCATCCCAAACCACTGGGCCTGTTGGGTTCGCGCAGGCAGCTCTGCTCCCAAAAGTCTGCTTCCATTGTTAAAAAGCTGACTTGAAAGCATGCAGGCTTAAGTACACCAAGGGGCCCAGCCCATCATTCCACTCCCTTAGCCTACAGCCACTGACAGGGTGTACCTGATGCTCATGCTAGGACATGAGCTTCACAAGGACAAGGTTTGTCTGTTTTGGTCACAACTTTGTCCCAGAACCTAGGACAGGGCCTGGCATCCAGGAGGAGCTCCATAAATACTCACTGAATGAATGGATACTTCCTGTGTGGCTTTGCATAGGGTCAGGCACAAGGCCACAAAGGCCACTTCAGTGATGGGGAAGAACCTGGTAAGTGCCCAGGTCGTCTCCCGGGGCTATGTTCCCATGGCAGTAGCCTCCTCTCAGGGAATGGGAACAAGGCCAGGTGGGGAAGGGACAGCTCCACAGCCCCAGGGGCTGGGGAATGAGGGTGGTACTGGGCCTCAACCTCAGGATCTCCAGGTGCTCTATTAGCTCAGATCCTCTTCCTGGACCCCTGGCAGCTAAGTGGGCAGGCTGGAGGAGGTGGAGCTCTGAGAATGTGGGAGGAGGTTTCCTGGCATTGTAGGGGAGGGGCAGAAGGTCTCAGCTACAGTCAGACACTGAGCTTTGATGTTGCTCTGGAGCTACTTCTAGTGACAGTTCTCTGAGGCCCACACAACTGTTTTTGCTTTTTAGTGAGAAAACACTTTGTAGAGGTGCTCAAGCACTCTAAGCTGCTGGGACCAGGCCCAGGCAGGGACCCCAGCTCCTCCCTGTGGGACTCTGGCCCTGCTCCTCAGTTTCCTCTGGGGTCATGAATGGGCTTGGCTTTCCTGCTGTCTCCATGTACCCACCTGTGCACACAGCTGATGCTCTCCAGGTAGGCCATGGCTTTGCATATCTGCAGCGTGTACAGGACGAGGGTGGGCACCTTCAGGGACTTCTTATTTTGCTCTAGATACTGGCCTAGCTGTGGGAAGGGAGGTGCCGTCAAGACCCCAGCATGGAGCCAGGGCTGCTGGCAGCCACTGACCCCTCTTCCTCTGGGGGCAAAGCCCAAGTCAGCAAGATGTTCTGGTGACTACCTCTATCAACAGGGCCTCTGCTTCTGCTGAGTATGGAAGACAGAAAACTGGGAGAAGTGTCCTTTGCTCCCTTGGTGTCCCAGCTATCTTCAGGGTGCCTGACCTGCTTCCTCCAGCTCACCTCCCCGAAGGAGTACAGTTCCATTATGATCCAGGTGGGCTCCTCTTCGATGATGCTGATCAGCTTCAAGATGTGGGGGTGGTCGAGATTCTTCATGATCACTGAAGTGGAAACAGGAGGTCACACAGGAGAATGGGGGAAAGCCGGAGGAGAACCCTCCCCTTTCCTCTAACTTAGAAGGCCAGGGAGTCTGGGCCCCACCCAGGCGTGCCTACCTGCCTGGCTCATGAACTTCTCCTTATTGTCCAGGGTGCAGTCCTTCTTGCAGGTCTTGACAGCCACATTTATTTTCTCCTCTTTCTGCAACAAGGGGGTTTAGGGAAGCTTGGTCCACCCTAGAACTCAAAGGAAACCGTTTCTGCCCTGGCCTCAGCAGGGTCTTCCCACAGACTTTGCCGACTGCTGAGGGGTGAGGCGACCTGGCTTCTGCAGGACACACCACCCCTTCCTTTCTTCCATTTCTCTCCCCTTTCCCCTTCCCTTCCTCTTCTTCCCCTTTCTTCTGGACCAGGCTGGGTTAGAACCAGAATTGGGTTTGGAGATCAATGAGCTCAAGCCCAGCTGTGCATACCAGGATGCTGAGATGAGGGACCGCATGATCTGCCCTGGTTAGCAGGTGACCCCAGGCCTTCATGAAATGCGGGCTGGCTGGCCCTGTTCTCTCTACAATTGGCTTCAAACTGTGCTTCCTTCCTTCTCTGCCCACACTCTGGCGCTGCCCTCCCCAGGCTTGCTGAGCATGGCCACAAAGGCAAAGCCTGTCTACCTAGAGGTGCCCTGGATGAACTCCCACTTGGCTGGGTCCACCCTTCTGCCCTCTGTGTATTCTCCTACCAAAGTCCCACCACTAGACAGGTGGACAAAGAGTTGTGAAGAGTCTGGGACTTGCATGATTTGTGCGGACCCCTTCATAGACCTCCCCAAAGAAGCCTTCTCCTAGAATACGATTGAGAACCACATCCTCACAGGCAATGCCGTACTGTGGACCTGCACAGATGGAGAACACAGCCTCTAGGCACAAGAACTAGCTGGCATCCCCTGGTGCCCCAGAACCCCATAACACCTCAGCCAAAATGCTGGGCTGGGAAAGCGGATCTAGAATGTTCCACTTCCTCAGATCCATGGAGGAACCATCACCATGTTTCCTGGGTCCCAGGCTCATGTTCTTAGAACCCCCATATCCCACAGACACACAAAAGCACACAATCCATCAGAGGAGGAGCTCATCTTTTAACCCACAAGAGCCTGGGTTGGCTGCTGCCTGAGAACACTTGGGGCAGGAGGAAGGGAGGGCAGGAAGCTCCACAGTGGTGTCCCAGGAGTCGCCATCATGTCACTTCCCAGACCCCTGACTGGTTGCCTTGGTGGGGTCCAGGACCTACCTCCCGGCCAACTCAAGGTATCGTTGGGAATCTCTGCATAGATGTCTGACTCTGGAACGACAGGAGGATGCCCAGCACACAGGTGAGATGCCTCATCAGACAAGGAACCTGGCTGTGGCTCCCACCTGCAGCCCAGAGCAGCCAGAGGTCAGGGTGCTGAAGCAGGGAAGCTGGGCAAGTCCTCGGCTCCTGTCCAAGGCTTTGGGGCAGCCACTGAGCCTGGGGTGTCTTGGCTCAAGTCTCTCTTTTGTTATCTAGGGCAAATCCATCTCCTTTAAACATTCCTATTACCCATTTAACACCATTATGAACTGGGTGCTTGTGTCCCGAAGCCCTAACTCACAATTTGATGGTTTTAGAATATGCAGTTTGGAGGGGAAATTAGATGAGGTCAGGGAGTGGAGCCCCCATTACAAGATTAGTGTCCTTATAAGAGGGGGAATGGCCATCAGAGTTCCCTCTCTCTGCACCACAGGAGCACACAGTGATAAGGCAGTCACCTGAATCTGTTGGTTCCTCGATCCTGGGCTTGCCAGCCTCTGCAACTGTGAGAAATCAATGTCTGTCTGTAGTTATGTGGTCTGTGGATTTTGTTTGGGGCCACCTCTTGTTATGACAAACTCAGTATGTGTACTGACTACTTAACATATGCTTGATATTACAAATGGCGATATTTTAAAGCCAGTACTGAGAAGGGACAGGAAAGGTTGTTTTCTGTAACTTGGAGGGAATGGTCAGAAGAGCAGGCACAGGGACCAAACATGGGGAGGTGGGCACAGGACGTGGGCAGGGTGGGCAGGCTTACCTATGCTGCAGCTTTCTGAGAGGTGGGTCCGCTTCGCTTCCAGGTTTCTCCAGGAGGTGAGAGGGCAGGAGGCAGTGAACACAGAGCTTGCAAAGCTCCCCCAGAGCTTTGGTCCCCCTCACCCACTGCCCAATAGCAGAAGCAGCCCGCCTGGCTGCAACAAGCTGGGGCATGGCCTGGGCCTGGGATGGGACTCAGCAGCAATCCTCCCAGGATGTCACCAGGGGGAAGCATGGAGGACAACACACTGTGGGAAAGGCCAGGGTCTAGAGTTCTTTCAAAAATGAGGGGGTGGGGGCACCCTGCTTGTTAATCTTCCTCCCAGCACACACTGGATGGGCTCAGGGCCCTTCCAAATCCCCACTGTACTCACAGGGTGGGGATCTGGGGCAGGCTGTTCCGCTTCTCACCATCTGGAGAGAAAGGAGGGGAGGGAAGATTGGAGCCAGGGACACAGAGTCCGGGATGGATGGAGGGCCTGTCACTGCTCCACAAGGAGACCCCTCCCCACCTTGTGTCCACTATCAGCATCAGGGTAAAAGCTATGTAAGCTTTGGGCCAAAATCAGAATCCTCCTTGTAGGCTTCCTCCTGCCAGCATCCCGTGATCCATTTCAGACCTATTTGTTGACCCTGGTCCCAAAACAAGGAAGGTCCACCCATGTCCTAGCAATGGCTCTGATCTCCCTGGTACTACAAATGCAGCTTGTCCAGAAGCTGGCCTCTATAAAGCTCTGACTAGCAGGACCAGGGGTGGCTGTCCAGGACCAGGGCCTGTAGCTGGTGACCCAGGATGGCCCCACAGGAAGCACCTGCAGGGCTGCTTGAGGACCTCGTCACATCCCTGAAGAACGCATTTGCTCAAGGGCCAATGGCTCCACGCCCCCATGCCTCCACATCACCCTGCAGGCTTGGCTCAGTGTGCAACTGTCCACTGTGCCTTTCAGAGAAACCTACTTTTCTTGGGATGGATGATGAGAGAGCCTTTATGTTCCCCCTGAAGCTGGCAATAACCATCTATGAGGTCAGCCATGTTCTCAGCCTCTGCCAGTGACAAGGTTTTGATGAACAAAGACTGCAGAGAAAAAGCCAGCCAAAGGTGAGAAGCCTTGGCTACACTATACCCCCTAGTGCTGTTTGAGAGGCTGCAGGACCCCCATCCCAACCATGCTGCAGGACCCCCTACCCTAACCCACACTTCCTCCGGGCTCTGCTGGCCTTCCCTGTTGCCACTAGGGGATGTGTTGTGCTCCCTCTTATGGACCACCCTGAGCTCTGGGAAGACCAGTGAGAAAGCAGGATGCCTCGTACCACGTGGGGTGCTCCCTATGTAAAGCAGAAACTGAGAAATGGAAAACAGAGTGAAGCAGGGACAGACTGGGGAGAGCAGAGATAGATGCTCTGCAGTTGGAGGTCTCTGATTCTTCCACCATGAAATCCCCCCGTCCCTGGGATCTTGACCTATAAGTCATTTTTCACTTGGTCAATATTAGACCCCACTTCTTTCCTGATATTAAAATAAAAATACAAACAATCATCTAGGCACCTTGGTGGGGCATGGGTGCAGTTTTCTTAACAAGATCCCCAAAGCCACTGAAACCCTGGATTCCTGCTTGCCACAGTCATGTCAACCCAAGGGCATCCTAACCCATAGTGATACCCCTGAAGAGACTCCAGGTGTCCAGAGAGGCTTACCTGGGATTCACTTTCAGTGCAGGACAACCTGGCCCTCCTCCAGCGGGAGACACCTGATGGACCTGATCTGCTTGAACTCAGCCAGGCAGGTGGGCTGTGGAGAAGAAGGGGGCCTTAAGAGCATCCCATTGCTGGGATCAGGCAATACAGATGGGTCAGGATGGGGAGGGAGGAGCGACTGGGAGTCTCTCTGCAGATGAAGGGAGAAAGTCTGTAAGGATCATCGAGTCCAAGCCGTTACCTTTCAGAAGAGAAAATGGGGTGTGGATAAAGGCAGGACTTACCCAAGGTCATATGTCGAGGTGGCAGTAGAGTCAGAACTGGACCCAGAACTGCCTCCCTTTGCCACTTAATACTCCTCTCTCTGTACCAGGAGAATGCCAAGCACATCCTTTTCTTTCTCTCTGCACCTATGTCTGCAATAAGGAGCCATCTGCCCAAGCTGCCATCCCCAACAATGTCCATAGAGCTCACGCCAAGGGCTGGCATAGCCTCAGTGCTCTCTACCTTTGTATCTTGACTTGTCAGCTGGTGGATGCCTTTGGGGCCAATGATCAGGTCCACCATAATGTTCCACACTTGCTGGAATAGAGGAGAGAGGGGACTGTTACCTCTGTCCTGCCACCTGGTGTGTTGACACTCATTAAGCTAGACAGGGACCATGGTCTCTACAGCTCACCCCTCTGGATAACTGCCCACCTGCCCACTTCCCACAGCTGGAGGCCAACATTCAGCTTCCTGCTTGGCACATGGATTAACATGAGTTCCGCTGGTAACAGCAAGGCCCTGCTGCCTGAATTCTGTTCCTGGTCCCAAATAGCTCCCTGGCCTTCTAGCCTGCCAGGCCTAGAACCCAGGCCCAGAGAGAATAAGGAGAGTGGTCATTACAACAAATTCACAGTGATAGGTCTACTGATCAATGTTTGCAAAGCCCACCAGGGTGTTGAAGAACTTCATGACACACTCCTCCTCCCGGAGTGAGGCGTACTGATGGAAGGTCTGCTGAATCATCTTCCAGAACTGCTTGGGCTGGGGAGAGGTTGGCAGTGCTGAGCCAGGCCCTGACCCTCCTGGCACCTGTCCTTCCACTAGGTCTCACTGAGAGGATGCCCATGCTGGAAGATGCCCCCAGGGCTCCTGCCATGACAGCAACACTGACCTGTTCCTCAAACCACACTCAGTGGTCTCGGGTGGGGCCCACCTTAACCATGAGCAGGAGGCAGGGAAGTCAGCCTCCCAGGGCTCAGGCGGCCTCTTGGGAGACTAGAGCCAAGCCCAGCCCATCCTGATTCTCCACCACAGAAGTGGCCCACTGGGGGCATTTGTCTGTCCTATGTCCTGCCTCAAGACAGCACAGATGCCCCAGCTTCTTTGAGGATCCCCAGCCCAATCCTTGTATTTCTAGCCCAGGGGATCGGCACAAAGAAAGGTTTTCTGGGCCCCTCACCCTTTGATTTTCTCACCTTTAAATTCTCCTGCATCTGCTTTGGGAAAAACAGGTCGAGTCCCACTTCTTTTCTGAAAACAAGGAAACAGAAGCAGCATTTGACTCTCCTTCCCTCCAGCTCAAGACTTCTGGCTAGTCGGGAGGAGGTACCAGGGATTGGGGATAAGGCCCTGACTATCCCACTATGGTCCAGGGTTGAGTGGGAAAGGAGGCTCTGGAGGGAAGGAGGGGAGGCAGGTCAGGAGGAGGCAGCCCTGCACTTACTCCAGGAGCTCGAAGTTGGACTTTTTGTCAAGGGCATTGTGGGGCATGTCCTTGAAGAACTGCCTGGAGAGAAAGGAGTCACGGAGGGGAGAGTTGGTAACTGGAGAAGAAGGCCATCAGGGCCTTAAAATAAAATAAAATAAAATAAAATAAAAAGCACTCATGCCCAGATGTTGACCTGGAGGCCCTTCCCCTGCCAGAGGTGGGATTTGCCAAGAGGGAGCAAGGTGGCAGGGGGTAAAATTGGATCTTTAGAAAACAGTAAGGACAAGGAAATCCCACAGACTTTGTTCCCAGAAAGGCACCATCCTCATGCTCTGGGAGACCCAGCTACTGAGCTGTGGGCTTTGAGGCTGAGGAAGAAGATGGTGGCCAAGCCCAGGAGGCTGGGGACACCACCTGCACCTTGAGGTCCTGGGTTCCTGGGCACTTTCTTTTTACCTATTTGCCATCTCTGAAATGTGTGCATATGTTTGTGTGTTCACCTAAACAATTATTAAATGAACATGTTAATATTTTTGAATTTGTAAAAGAAAATATAAATAATCCATAATCCTACCACCAGAGGTGGCATCTATTAATATATGATACATCTTCTTCAAGTCCCATTTCTCCTAAAAATATATGCATTTATGAAAACTTGTATGTACTGTCAGATGCCACATAATGACCTTTTGGTTAACAATGGACCACAGATATCATAGCAGTCTCATAAGATTACTCACCTAGAATCATAGCTGTCTTTGTTTGCATAAATGGACTCTATTTTTGTTAATGTGAAGGTCATACCTGTGATAGGCGGTCAGACTCTGGGTGATGCAGGGAAGCTCGAATCTCGAGGAGGAAGTGGGTCCCTCCATCCTCCCTATCGTTTGCTCCCCTTCACCATAGCACGACATTATCCCAACTGGGAACATTTCTGGATACAGATTTACGGTGACTCCACATTAGGCTTTAAAAATTCATGCATTAGATATTGAAGGAGGTCTAAGTCTAGGATGCCTCTTGGATTTTCTAGAAGATTCTGAGGATGGGGAGTGCTGTGAGGAGGACCTCCAGGGCCTCCCCACCCCACATTCCTACCTCCACTTGGCCTCCACATGTAGACATTCATACTTGTCCTGCACCTCACCCACCTTCATCTGGGGGTGTAGCCAGTGGATCTCATCTGACTTCATGTGCTTTAGCCTCAGTCCGTAGCACTCAGCCAGCTGGATGTTGGGCCCAATCTGCCCACTTAGCAGGATAGAGGTGATGATCTCCTGCAGAGTAGAGGGGGACACTGTGGTGAGCCGTTCCGCTGTGGTGAGCCGTTCCTGCGGACTGTGGTCGCCATTACATGATGGCGCTGGCTCCGCTGTGGTCTGTGAAGGACAACTCCTTATCAGAGAGAGTTGGCGTGTTGTCAACTCCTATTAGAGAGAGTTGGCATGTTGTTTTCTAACACCCTGTGAGAAAGGTCCACGTGGCAGCTTCGCATTGGGGTTCGCGGTGCTTTATTAAGGCTGGGAGGGGCATCCGAGGGGAATTAGAAGAATTATTAAAAGAATGTCAAGGGCCTGAATAAACTGCTGAAAGAAGATTCCTGAGTCGCGTCTTCCTTGCGGGCAAGGGGGTCGTGACAGGACACAACTCAGGGATGTTCCTTGCTGGGCTCCCCAGGGTGTGATTCTCTAGGGTGGGATTCTGCCTTAACAATGTACTTGTTTCTGATTTCCTAGCACTTAGTGCAAGATGAGGTATACAATGAACTGTATGTTGTGAATGAACAAATGCTGTTCATTTAGTCAAAATGAGACAGAGACAGAACTGAGGAGACAGCACAGATGCTGTGCTTCTGCACTGCATACCAGTTGAATCAGTTAATACTCATTGAGCACCTTCCATGTAAAAAGCACCTTCTTAATGGTTCCCAAGTTCACCATCCTTCCTGATTACTGGACCAGGCACTGCTAGATACTTTTCACACACATGATTTCACTGAATCTGTACAACATGGGGAAACAAGCAGGTGTCACTGTCCTTGTGTGACAAAGAGGAAATTGATGTAGGTCACACAAGCCATGGCATTAGGCTGGGATTTTTGAACCCTGGCCTGCTGGACTCCAGATTTCTACTAGGCCAAGCTGATTCACTTGGATGATGGAGAGGGCAATACAGAAGAACAAGATTCACCTCAAGGGAGCAAGTGGCACAGTCCCTACATAAGAAGGATGGTCATAGGAAATGAAGATATGACATGGTGGCCTCTAATTAACTGGGCCACTTACCCACAGCCTGATGTCCTAGCTTCCTGGCCAGAGCCAGAGCTGGATTGACACAAGGGCCACTCAGGCAGCTGGCTGCCTGGATGTGAACATCTGAGGCCTTGCCTTGTTCTGACATCACTTTTGCAACATTTTTTGCTCAAGCCTCTCATGTGGTTTCACACATAATGGGTGATTGGAGCCCACTCTTGACAGCAGAGAGATGGCTCAGATGCAAACTTAGAAGCCCTCAGGCTCTGACCTATCCTGTTGGATGGCTTGGCAGTGTGACAGATGGATTGATGCCCAGGCAGTTGCTGTTCTGACCAGGAAGAGCAGAGGCAGTTTATTACTTAGATTTCATGATTTTTTGTTGTTGTTATTTTTTACCATGCATCCCAAGAAGTTCTCTAATTTAGTAAATGAAATGCAGCTAATCTCTTAATTGGAACACAAAGAAGGAGATATGACATCTTTTTTCTCAGAAGAAAATCTGTTTCTTTCTATCTCCACTAGGAGAATGTTAAACTAATATTAAAATAATATGACTATGAAGGAATGCCCAGTTGTTCATCTGCCCGAGCACACACATGTCTGGATCCAGCTACCTCCTACCAGGATGCTAGAAGACCCTCAGCCTAAAACCTCCCTTTCCCCTCAGAGAAAGTTGACTACTGCAGAGAAGTTGACTACTGCTCTGTGAGAGAGCTGGGGAAACTGAGGCACAGCATGCACATGTCATCAGTTGTAACAAATCAGCATGGGAATCAATTGAGTCTCAGGATGTGGAAGAGGACTCTGACCTAGGGTACCCACTGGGAGAGGGACGAGGGCAAGAAGATGTGAAGTAGACAGTTTCGTCACTCTCCACCCACTTATACCACTCATCTGTACCACTCTGTCCACAAGGTCCTCATGATATGGTACCCAACCCCTTTTCCCTCCTGAGCCCCACCTGGAGTTCCCACTTCAGATATTTAAACTGAGAGCATTCCCTCTCCCCAGTTAAAACCGATTAGGCTAATGTCTAATTTTCTTAGGGCTGGGCCCCCTGTGCTGTTTATTATTGAAAATCTTTAACATATGTAAGGTAAACAGAGGAGCATAATAGCTTCCCTTGTACACACAACCCAGCCTCAGCAATGACCAACATTCTGCCCCTCCTGCTTCATCTGTGCCACCCCCTACTCGCCAACTGTGACTCAACTATTAATTTATTTTGTGGTTCTTCTTTTAAGGTAAAACTTATATAAATTAAAATGCACAAATTTTAACGATATGATTTTGACACATGAATGCACCTGTGAAACCCACACACCAATTAAGAAAGGCAGTTTTCCAGATCCTTGGAAAGTTCTTTCTTCTCCCTCCTCAGTCATCCCTTGTGGCTCACTCCCACCTCTCCCTCCCAGGAACCACACCCTCCAGAACTTCACATAAGTGGGATCATTTCATAGGTGCCATTCTTTTGTGTCTGGGACAGTTTTTTTCACCCAGGACAATATCTGAATTCCCCCACATTGTTGTATATATCAGTAATGTGTTTCTTTTTTATTAATGGTGATGTTCTATTTTATAAAGAAAACACAATATGCTTATTTAGCCCCCTACTCTTGGAAATAAGGGGTATTTCTAATTTTTACCATTATGAATTAAGTTGCTGTGAAAACTAATTCACAAGTATTTTTGTGTGTAGATGCTGTTATGGCCTTTGAGTAGACACCAAGGAGTAGAATTATTAGGTCAATGTATGTGTGGCCTTACGAGAAACTGCCACGTTTGTTCCACTTTTGTGTTTCCATTGTGACACGAGGCTTCTATTACCCTGCACCTTCTCCAAGATTGGGTGCTGTCAATCTTTCTAATATGTGTCATCTCCATAGGGAAACTGAGGCACAGCATGCATGTATTAGCAGATCAGTGTGGGAACCACTTGAGGGGCAGGGCTAGTAGTATATTATTGTGCCTTGATCTGCATCTTCTGATGGCTAACGACATTGATCACACGTTTACGGGTGTATTGGCCATTCACACT